TAATATATTATTTAGATTAAATTTTGAAAAAAACAATTGAAAATTGACCAAGAAGTCGAATGGCTAAAACATTTGTGCGTATTTAATAGTCAATATCAGTAGATATTTATTCATGCCTAATAGTTGGCAATTAATTTTGAATCGCATTCTTAATTATGAAACCACTGTCTATAAACAGGCTTATTTACTTAAGATAAACCGTGGAATGTTGCATTTATACTCAAAACATAACGGCAACTGGATTAGGGATTACATTTTATTACGACAAATCCATCATTCGTTTCAATAATGCGTTAATATAAAAGTTACGGCAAACAACCCGGAAAAATCGATTCAGATATCAATTAGTTATTATATAACGTCCACAATTAAGGTCATTTTTTTCACTAGATTCAGATTAATAGCGTTATACTAAATAAGTCAATAATATTGTACTGTACAATAATGTTTTATATCGCGAACCTACAGCGAAGAAATAATGCACATTGTTTATTGTTTGCATTAATTAAAAAATTCGATTTTATCACAGTAATATAAACCGAATAAAAGAATAATAACTTTTTCGATAAACAATTACGCATTTACGAAAATATAAAAATAGTATCGCGTGTGGTTGTACTTATTGTTAGTATAAAAAGTATTGCATCGGCCAGAAATCGAACCTGGGACGTCCGTGGGAAGCGATCTTTTAATTACAAATCAGCCGTCGTTGATTATTGCATAGCTCATTTAACTTAAGATGTTTTCTAATGGTATTAATCACTTGTACATTAATATAATATAACATGTATATAATATGAATAGATTAGAATTAGATATAGTAGGTATTAATGAAGTCCGTTGGCCCGAAGCTGGAGTTGAGACCTTAGAGCAGCGGTCGGGGAACCAGGCTAAATTACCCCAAGTGGGGTAAAAATGAAATTTTTGGGGGTAAAAATGAAACTTTTGTGACTAAAAAGTATATATTTTTAATTTGCTATTTTACAAACCTGTTAGTATTTTTTTCAACTTAAACAATTTAACGACATATGCAGGCCACGCCATCTCACTCCCTATTTTTAGTTATTGTTTTCTTTTCAAAATTATCATGGGGGCTATAATATGAAAGATGCTAAAAAGAGGCGATTTCGTTTTTTTTTTGCTCTTCGCCATGGGGTAATATCAACTTACACAAAAATATTTTGGGGTAATGATTAAAAAAGTTCCCCTACCGCTGCTTTAGAGTAATACATATAGAATCGATGGAAGGTAACTGGGGGGTAGGAATTGTAATGCGTAGGAAATTAGGGTAGAGTGTAGAAAGTTATTTACAAAAAAGCGATAGGATAGTTATGGTTAAATTAAATTTGAGGCCGGTAAAAAGGGTTTTAGTGCAGGTCTACATGCCTACATCATCTTACAGTGATGAAGACATAGAAGCGGTTTTTGCAGATATAGAAGACGTGTTAAGTTTACTGAGAGGGCAGGAAAACCATATAGTTTTAGGAGACTTCAACGCAGTAATAGGTGAAGGTAAAGGGGGTGCAATAGCAGGTTCTTTTGGATTAGGCAATAGAAATGATAGGGGAGATAGGCTGATAGAATTTTGCGATAAACATAACTTAACCGTCGCGAATACATTATTCAATCATCACGTTAGGAGACGCTATACGTGAAAGATGCAAAGTGATTTAGGGAGTTATTAGTTGGATTACATACTTGTTAGGGCAAAGATTTAAAAACCAAGTGAAGGACTGTAGGAGTTATCCAGGAGCAGATATAGATAGCGATCATAACTTAGTAGTTATGAAGACCAATTTTAAATTGACAATTCTAAAAATGAGGGAAGGTAGGAGACGCCTTGACTCAGAAAAGCTAAAATGTAACGAAACGCGTGATAGGCTAGGTAAAAGGACAGACGAAATACTAAAGGCGGCGGGAGAAACGAATGACTGGGACATAGAGACAGAATGGACTTTAGGCACGTTTTAATGCAGAAACGTGCCTAAAGTCAGCAGCTAAAGATATACTTAGTCTTAAGCAAAACTAAAGTAGGAAACCCTGGATAACAAATGAGATTTTAGGATTAATAGAAGAAAGGCGGAAATACAAAAACAGGACAGACGAAGTAGGGCAAAAAAGATATAAGGCTATAAAGTGGGAAATAATTAGGAAGTGTAGGGCAGCTAAGGAACAGTGGATTGATAGGATGTGTAAAGAAGTAGAAGAAAAGTTTGAAGTAGGTCAAACCGATGAGGCTTATACTATAATTAAAAGGAATTTTAGAGAAGTGGGATACAGTAGTAACAATATAAGAAACGAGGCAGGAGTCATTCTGATAGAAAATGAAGAAAAGGCACCCAGGTGGAAAGAATACTTGGAGAGAACCTATACGCAGACCCTGAGTTAGGAGATATATTAGATAAGGAAGATAGTGTGGAGATAGATGAGCTTGGTTATCCCATAATGAGAGAAGAGTTCGATGTAGCATTAAAAAACTTAGAGAATAATAAGGCGCCAGGTGTAGATGGGATACAGGAGGAAATTCTAAAACATGCAGGACAAGAGGTTAGAGATCGTATATTTAAGCTAGTTAGTCACATTTACGAGACGGGGAAAGTCCCAGAGGATTATAAACGGAACGTGGTAGTAACCATAGGTATCTAACAAGAGAGGCGCGGATAGGTGCGAGACATTTAGAACAATTAGCTTAACTTCCCATGCATCAAAAATCTTAACTACAATTGTGCAGAGGAAGATGGAAAAAAGGTCGGAAGAACTATTAGGGAAAGATCAATTTGGATTTAGAAAAAATAGAGGAACGCGGGAAGAAAAAGCTTTTGGCAGTGTTAAAAGGGATAAGATGTTAGATATACTTAAAAATTTAGGAATGAGTTACAACGATAGAAGAGTGATACTTAGTTTGTATAAAGAGCAACAGGCAGTTATAGAGATGGGGCTGCAACGTAGAGAAGTAAATATTAGGAAGGGAGTCAGACAGGGATGAACACTGTTACCGCTACTTTTTTACCTATACATCGAAGATGCGATCAACATCATTAAAAACAGTACAACTGTAGAGATAGATATACAGGGGCAAAAAATTAGTATGCTTAGATTTGCAGATGATATAGCAAGGAAGAGTTAAATAAAATGGAAACGGTATTGATAAAACACTACTGTATGAAAATAAATAAAAGTAAAACAGAAATACTGGTATGCAAGGAAAGCAAAAGTGGGGAAAGAGCCAATATGAAGATGGGAGACGAAAAATTAGAAGAACTGGCCGATTTTAGGTATCTAGGAAGTCAGATAAGTCAAGACGAAAAAAGTAGTAGGGATATAAAGCAGAGGATAGCGTAGAGTCTAGTCGCTTTTAATAAAAAGAAGTCACTTTTTATAGCGGTTAATTTAGAAATTCGAAAAAGGTTGTTAAAGGTGTATGTTTGGAGCACGACGCTGTACGGGTGCGAAACATGGACAGTGGGTGCGGCGGAAAAGAAAAGGTTAGACGCGTTGGAAATTGGTTAGAAAGAGTAGGAGAACAGAAGACTCTATGGAAGTCAATAAGAAATAGGCGAGATAGGTTAGTAGGACACCTTCTCAGGCATGAAGATCTATTCAAAGACATATTTGAAGCCAAAACAGGAGTTAGGAGGGGTAAAGGTAGACCTATATTAAATTACTGTTCGCAAATAGTTAAGGATATGGGTTGCTCTAGCTTTAGGGAAAGATTGGCGCAGGATAGGAAAGAGTGGAGGTGCGTGTCCAACTAGTCTTAGGACTGACGACCTTATGATGATGATGACATTAATATAAATAAAAACTTACCTGCGTTAACTGCAATAATATATTAATTATCCATGTTATTACTTTTCTGAATTTGTTGAATAACGTATTGAAATAGATTTTCCCATTTGAAGTAGAATACACAATAATAACAACAAAAAAGTACTTAAAGGCGTAATTAATCTTACAAATATTAGCATTTTTGAGGACAATGTAAATAAAAACTTATTATTACTTACCGCATGCATATGGTTAAATTTTTTGATTGGATTACGTTATCTTGGTCAATTTGTTTTTACTGCATATTGCTTCTGTAGTAGCTTTAAAAAATCAGTTGTTCAGACAGAAAATCGATTAGTTTTGACAAGAATTCATTAGCTAATATATATACAATAAATTAGGTGCCATTATTTAAATGACAGAACGAATACGAAAGTTGGCAGTTAGGCAATTACTAAGTCAAGAGCACATAAGGTACTGTACCATAAACAATTCAAATGGAGACTACCAAAGCACAGGTATATATTTTTTATTTATATAATATTATTTCGAAAATAACGAAATGTAGAGTTTTTAAGAAGTTTACAATTTATAAATTAACTAGCCAAAAATTGTCCTGTCCGGTAATTTTTAAGTTGTTTATTTCAGAAATTTATTTTTTTAATTGTAGGTTCTGCTTTTATTTGTGTTTGCGTTAATGATGAGTGTATTTTGTCAACCGTTGAATCAAGATTTTACAACACCAAAAAGCTCTAAAATACGGATGGTTGATCCTACAGACAAAGGTAAATTTTATTGTTACTTTATAAAAGCTTTTTAATTCAAAATTCGATAAACAGCTGCACATAAGCAATTAAATTAAAAATTAAGCAATAAAAACATTTTAAAGAAATTAAAATTATTAAAACATCAAAGTGCTTAAAACCTCTTTTATGTGCTTGAAAACCTTTTGGATTAATTCATCAACCTTTAGGCAACTAACGTCTTCCAAAATATGTGAACAATAATTTCTGTTGATTGTTTAATTGGACACTAAAATTTTGCTCCTAAGATATCTGTAACTAGCCTTTAATGTCTCAGATGTCGTCTATTTCCAAAACATTTGGAATGTTTATCGATTTATTTGTAATTTTCATTATTCTCTATAAACAAATGTACGTACAAATATTTTAGAACAATTCACCGACCCCTTCTTTACAACACCATCGAAAGGGGCAAAAATTTTCAATAGAACCCCAACTGAATCTTCAAAATCAACAGTTACAGATGATCCAAACATTTCTGCGTTTAATTTTAAGGTATAAATATAACTGCTATAATTCATAAATTACTTTTTCAAACATTTCGTTTCCAATTACATCCTACTTTAATTATTATATTCCCTCAGGGCGCAATGGTGGATATTAGAGATCATAAAGGGCTAATTCCCGACGAAAGTGCAAACCTCGTCAATCATTGCGATAAAAGTGATGGCATGTGCGCTAAAGAAACATTTTAACATCTAATTTCATTAATAAATAATTAGTAGTTTTCTAGCAGTTGTATTTAACAATTTCAATTGAAGATGTTCGGTTTAATGCCCAAAACAATCACTTGTTATTGTTAAAACTAATGAAGTATTTGTTTTGTTTTTGTAAGCACATATAAATAAAGTGTTTTCAATATGAATCAATACTTTTTTTTTGTAATTCAAATAAATAAAAACTGGAAAATCGTGTTTGTAATAATTTTAACGTATACATACGTATAATCAACAAATACAAAGAAGAATTTCTATTTATATCAAAACCACGGAGAAATTGATATTACGTGATTTAGTTTGAGCCGTGTGACCGATCGTCCCGCACTCTTTTGAACGTAGATTGCCAAAATCTTTAACATGAAAAAGTCGCTTCCCGCTGTCTGTCCCTATGTATGCTTAGATCTTTAAAACTGCGCAACGGATTTTGATGCGGTTTTTTTTAAAGATAGAGTGATTCAAGAGGAAGGTTTATATGTATAATACATGCATAATATAGTCAGGAAACACTGATAATTTTAGAGGTTTCTAATGTGATGTCGTAAATAAACACATTTTTTTGCGCTTACATTGCAAACGCTGGCTGAACCCTACGAGATAGATGAAAATAATGTACTACAGTATTGTACATCTTAAAAAGGTCTACAAAAAAGTCCTGGATGATATATGTCTATATCTTAGGGATAACCCACAATAACCACTTTTTATCCTTTACTTTTTACGAGAAATAATGACTTATTTACGAAGCGATTTTAAGCAATACAGAATTAATCCTTATCCAATTAAGTACCTTAAATACATTGTGCATTTAATATAGATCAATATGGCCTTTTACAGCATATAATTTAAATGAATATTTTCGAAAATATTACATATTTTAAATGCAGGGACATAGCGGTTGTAGCGGTACGGCCGGTTTGTATTGTCTAATGTCATAAAAACTGTGAATGTTGTATATAGAGACATTCTGTAGTATATTTGGTATGTTCAGGGGTTGTCTTTTGAAGATTTCCCCTCCTCGAGAATAATCTAAACAAAAAAAATTATTTGAAATTGTAGACTCGCTTGGCACTTGGTGAAACATTTTTATAAAAGTAAAATAAAGGAATCAATTAC